GTACGTATTTCATTTTAGTGATCTTTTATATGTATAAATGGCATATGCAGGAGTGGAATTCTATGAAGAAGAAGGTGGAGGAATTGGTGTAGTCCACGAGTCTTGGTTTACTCCGAGGAAGAAGGAACTTCTTTGGCCTCCATTCAAATCACAGAAGGATTTTAAACGAGCATTACGAACTTGCGAGAAACCAGAGAGCACTTGGCAGCTATTCAGTGTATCCAAATTGATTTTCACCGAGGGTTAGTAGATGATACTTTCTTACTGTATTATTTACCTACTTTTACTTATATACGCACATTTCAGATGATTTGAGCAAAGCCTTGATAAAAATTAAAAAAGCGGAAGTTACTTCCAATGTTGAAACGTCCGATGATGACGGGTCAGATGTTTCTAACCAAAAAAGAAATCGTAAGCCTTCGAGACTATACTGAATGACAGCGAAGGTGAAGAGACAGAAAACAGTACTTTACCGCGACCTCCTGCTATAAAGCAAAAAGTTACTATATTATCGGGTATGTGTGATCTATTTGTTACATTATTATCTTCATTTACTAAATTTTAGTAAAACATTTAGAAAGTACTTCAACCTCATCTTCCCCACCGAGCACCATAGTTTCTACACCTAGATCGTCGGCTATCTTGAATGAAGGTTGAGCACACAAAAGTAATTAATTGGATTTGTTATGATAAAGAATTGCAGGAAATCACCCAACAATTAATGGGATAATTGATGTAATTAGAGAGCAGAGTAAGGACATAGCAATATTAAAAGAACAAACCAAAGAAATATTAGCATTGTTACGTAACCAGCAAGTTACCGTTACTGCTGTTCCTTTGCAACTGAAGTACTCCTGTTCAGTTACCTTTAAATACAGTTGATGATTTGAAAACTTTGGAAGAGTTTTTGAAAGATGGGACAAAATTTAACGTTTTTGTAAGTTGGACATTCCAAGGGCGCATTTATTTTATAATTTCTTTTTGTTTCAGTGCCTGTATTTTGCAAATTTAGGAGGGCGAGATGCCTCATCGTTAACTCACAATATAATGAAGCATTGCCTGACAAATGAATTAGCATCCTTGTATAATTTCTGTGGTAGCAGATCCAATAAGCTACCATTTAATAATTTAAAATTAAAATCAAATGTTGTTGGTATGTATCCACTATTCTATTAAATTTGTTGTTAATTAATTATTTATAGCTGCTGTAATGAGCAAATACCAAGGTTTAACCGAAAAAGATGTGGAAAATTGCATAAAGGAATGGTTGAAGCATTCGCCGCAAAGGTTAAAGTTGCAGAAGAAGTCAAAATAAAAATATTCATATTTTTAGTTATTAAGCACTTGAATAGGTATGTATAAAAGAAAGAGGAAGGAAATCGTTGGACCTAGGCAAATGTACAGACGAGTAGCTGAGGCCACTGCATCTTCTGTTCGTCAATTATGTTCGGGACAAGATACTCAGGTGAGTGTCATTACCCAAGATTGTTCAAATCCTGTGGACTTTAATGCAATAACAGAAGATGCAGTAATTGGGTCATTCAACACTAGTTCAAATGCGGATGGTTGTATTGTTAATATAGAAAATGAGGCAAACACAGCAGCTGATGCACAAAACGAAAGTGAAAGTATTGGTTTATCAGAATCTAATTTAGAATGTCACAATTTAAAAGTAAGTTTTACTAACAAAGGCGAGGATAAAAGTGAGTTGGACCTTTTCAATAAATTAAAAATATGGGCTACTGATGGTAGGGTTCCTCATAGTACAGTTACCAAATTATTACATATTCTGCACCCCTATCATCCAGAATTGCCACTTGATAGCCGTACTTTATTGCAAACACCTGTTGCACTTGAAGTAAATAAATTTGATAATGGCGAATTCTATTATTTTGGTCTTTTAAAATGTCTTCAAAAGTTTATTGATCTCTACCCCAATTTTTCAGAAACCAACTTTAATCTTATATTTAATGTGGATGGGATTCCTATTTTCAAAAGTTCAAATTTACAGTTTTGGTCCATTTTAGGGAAAGTTTTTAATTTAAAATTTAGCACCCCATTTGTAATTGCGGTTTTTTGTGGTTCTTCAAAACCTCCCCTCGACTTGTACCTAAACGATTTTGTTAATGAAATGAGCAATTTGTTAAAAAATGGGTTTAGTTATAATGGCAACCATTTTACAATAAAAGTACATTGTTTCGTTTGCGATGCTCCTGCACGAGCTTTTTTAAAACGCATCCAATCCCATTCAGGCTATTCATCTTGTGAAAAGTGCACTGCCCCTGGTGATTACAAAAATGGAAGAATCATTTTCAAAAATTTATTGTCTCAGCCTCGAACAGATGAATCATTTCGAATGCAAACAGATGATGACCATCACCACGGAACATCGCCATTGTTAGATTTAAATATTGGATTAGTGACCAAGTTCCCCATCGATTACATGCATAACGTTTGTTTAGGAGTTGTTCGAAAGTTATTAATAGCATGGACTAGTGGACCTTTACATGTACGAATGTGTAGTAAGAATGTTCAAATGATCTCTAAGAGATTAGATAATCTAAAAAAATATATCCCTGAAGAGTTTAATAGGAAACCGCGTTCACTCTTAGAAATCATGCGTTGGAAGGCTACAGAATTCCGAACATTTCTTTTGTATGTAGGCCCTATTGTATTACGCAAAATTATTGATGTTGCTATTTACGAACATTTTTTACTTTTGCACAGTGGTATTACATGTTTTGTGTCAGACACATATATTACTGAAATGGGAATAGATTTTGGAGGGGAGTTTTTAAAGACTTTTGTTCAACATTCTAAAAATATATATGGTGATGAATTTCTCATATATAATGTTCATAACTTGATACACTTAAAATCTGATGTGGCATTATATGGGATGTTGGATAATTTTTCGGCATTTTCGTTTGAAAATTATCTAGGCTATTTGAAGCGACTAATTAAAACTCCTAAGCCTCTACAACAACTGTGTAAGCGAATAAGTGAAACCGGATATAAACCTACTATTACAATAAATACTGGACTTTTTGAAAAACATAATAATAATAATGGACCTCTACCTTTTGATATGCGATATTATTCACAATTTAAAAAGATTCAATTGGAATCTTATGTCATTAAAATTAATTCTTACAGTAGTGCAAATTCATTTTGCTTAATGAAAGAAAATTGTGTTGTTAAGGTAGAAAACATCATTCAAAATAATTCAAATGATGAAGTTTTTATTCTTGGTAGGAGATATTTGACATATGAACCATTGTATTGCTATCCAATTGATTCTCAACAACTCCACATACATATGCTCTCGAATTTATGCACCAATGCGGAAATCTGGCCCATTTCTTCAGTGCAAGCGAAGTGTTTAGTTTGCCCTTATGATATAGACATGTCCACCTCTGAAGCTACTCGTGTTGTATCAATGCCCTTGATTCACTCATTGTTTGAGTAGCCACTTCCTATATGTTAATGTATGCACATTTAGTATTTTTAGAAGTACCTATTATAATAAAAATGACTATTATATTATAGCATGGAATGCTTTTTTAAAAATAAATATTGTTGAAACAAATGTGCTTTATTTAGCAGAATCACAATCAGAGAAAAGTCAAAGATGTTTTTATTTTTAGATTATAACCTAAAAATAAAAACATCTTGCCTTCTCTACAATTGTGAAAGAATGTTACTATAGATTTTGTTCTAAATACGTGTTGATGACGGCATCAAAAGTACGTAATTTACACGTCACGTGAGACGTGTATTTTACGTAAATAAATTACGTAATCGGTCTGTGACATTACCACGTATTTTTTACGTCGAAAATACGAGAAATTTCACGTAAAAAGAACGACATTAATCACCAATAAATGATGTAAATAATACGTGTCACTGCTACCTAGGAAGTGGCAGTACTCAGAACCGATTAGCCACGGAAACGCGAACTGGTATACAGAGTTACTATTGGTATTTTTTATACAAATTGGTGATAAATAAACATGATTTAATCGTTGGTTTGATAGTTTCGTATGTATTATTATTTCTTTTTGTGTAGGTATCTTTAGTAGGAATGTATTTCATGGAATACTCACACTGCCGGCCATTGTTCAATTGACCTTGTCAGTTAGTGCTTGATAAATTGGTGTCTACGTAGTCCGAATTTGCTTGGAATTCTTCATAATCTCTCACTCTAGATGGTTTATCTAGATCTATGGGGGGAGAAGAGTTGCCTGGTACATTTCCTTCGCATTTTATTTTTCAAATATTTTCTTCACTCCCCCTTACGACTCGCTGGCACCAAGCCATTCATTTCCTTACCACGCTCAATTTGCGGATATGGCATATGTCGCGGCCCAGCGCGATGGCATAGCGGTGAAACGTCCCTAATTTTGCCTACCAGGGACGCATCCTCACGACAGTTGATTAAATCCTGGGAGAGGCGGCGACACCAGGTATATGTCAAAGTTTCATGTTTCAATTGGGAGATGATGGAATGGTGTTTAGGATGGTATGTGTGCGAGGAAGAACGATGTTTGGCAGCAACTTATGAGCCGCCTCTCCTGCCCATTGACCGACCGACTTCTTCAGGACGGGAGTAATTCAATCTCTGAAACCCACAAGGGGTAAACTATTATTATGGTCGGTGTTTCTTGTGAGAACTCAAGTGTAGCGTCACCCGCCAAGCACGACCCGAGCACGTGATTGTAGCGTGCTCGACCGGTCCGTTACAGCCCCTAACACAATAGAATATTTTTGGTTGGAATGTGGAAAAACCGACCTGAGGGAATAAACAATCCGAGGCCGGCAGTTACGCGCCGACCTCGCATACAATAAGGCTTGCTAATAAACAAGTTTCAACGTCCATTCTTTTCATCTTTTTCTCGAAATACTTAGCCCCACAAATTGGTGACCCCGACGTGATTATCGCGTAAAGTGCGGCAGGATATTTCGCGGAAAGGACATTCAACGCCAGTGCGCAAGGAAACATGGCCAACGACGGTGAAAGTTCAACGCCAGCCCTCATGGTATCGGTAGATCGCGTCGCGATGCGCTTACCGGAATTTTGTGCGTCCGATCCGGAAATGTGTTTGTTGGAAAGAAATTTCGCTGCGGCAGGGATCACGGCAAACGGCACGAGGTTTGATTATGCGGCTGGCGCGCTCCCTCCAAAATACGCTCTAGAGGTACGGGACGTGCTCCTTAATCCACCGACTACAGCTCCGTACGACAAACTGAAGAGCGAACTCACACGAAGACTTTCCTCGTCGCAAGAGGATAAAATCCGTCGCCTCCTAGAGAGAGAAGAGTTAGGGGACCGTAGACCTTCCCAATTCCTCCGCCATTTACGCCAACTTGCGGGACCGACTACGGACGACCAACTTTTAAGGACACTATGGGTAAGCCGCATGCCCAGAAATATACAAATGATCCTGGCCACCCAGAAGAACACTCAGCTCGACGAGGTGGCAGAGTTAGCGGACAGTGTCATTGAGCATGCGGCGCCCAACGGCCAGATCGTACCAGTCCACGCGAGACAGGACGGCGCCGTGGATTCCCTTGACCAGAAGCTAAACCAAATTGCCAAATCGTTGAAACAAGAACTGATGGAAATTATGCGCAACGAAATCGCGGCCCTACCAGGACAAGCCCCATTTTCACGAGACACCGGATATGAAAATCGACGACCCAGGTCGCGCTCACGAGCCCGCTCCGTCAGTCGTGGACCAGGGAAGAAAATTTGTTGGTATCATTGGCGTTTCGACACCGACGCCAAAAAATGCGACCCTCCCTGCTCGTTCCAAGCGGGAAACGAGGGGGGCGATCGCTAATGGCAACCAGCGACAGTGGCCCCGCGACGAGCCGCCTGTTTATAACCGATCGCGAATCCAAAATACAATTCCTTGTGGACACCGGTGCCGATCTATGCGTGTTCCCAAAACAACTCGTTGGTAAATCTTGCGAAAAATCGGACTACGAACTTTCCGCGGCAAACGGTACGATCATTAATACTTATGGAACGTTATTACTAAATTTAAACCTCGGGTTAAGACGCGATTTCACCTGGCAATTTGTAATCGCCGACGTTTCGCGACCCATTATCGGCGCTGATTTTCTTGCCTACTTCGGGCTATTAGTGGACGTAAAAAACGGCCGTTTGCTCGACCAGAGCACGAACGTGATCTCTAAAGGTCAGGTGACAACGTGTGACGTTCCCTCCATCAAGACGGTCTGCGGCACATCCGCCTATCACCAAATCCTTCAAAGTTTCCCAGACATCACTCGACCCGTCGGCACGTTCCGTGAACGTAAGCACAACGTCCAACATCAAATTAAGACGACTCTCGGTCCACCTGTCAGCAGTAAACCACGCCGCCTCGCACCGGAGAAGTTAAAAATTGCGAAGAAAGAATTCGACACCATGTCGAAGATGGGATTAACGAGGCCTTCTTCCAGTCCATGGTCATCACCATTACACTTGGTGGCCAAACAAAATGACGAATGGCGTCCCTGCGGCGATTACCGCGCCTTAAACGGGCGCACGATACCAGATCGATACCCCGTTCCACACTTGGAGGATTTCGCTCAGACGCTCCACGGAAAACTGATATTTTCCAAAATCGACCTGGTACGCGCCTACAATCAAATTCCGGTGGCGGAAGAGGACGTTGAAAAGACGGCTATAATTACACCGTTCGGCCTTTACGAGTTCCCGTTCATGTCGTTTGGGTTATGCAATGCCGGCCAAACTTTTCAGCGCTTCATCGACCGTGTTCTGCAAGGATTGGATTTCGCCTACGCGTACTTGGACGACATTTTAGTCGCGTCGGAAAACGAGCACGAACATAAGGAGCACCTACACCTCCTATTTACACGTCTCCAGGAGTACGGGATAGTTATAAATCCATCCAAATGCGTATTCGGACGGGAAACCGTCGAATTCTTGGGCTATCGCGTATCACACAACGGTACATCACCACATCCGGCGAAAGTAGAAGCGCTCATGTCTTTCGCAAAACCCGAGACGGCGAAGCAATTGAGGCAGTTCCTAGGTATGATAAACTTTTATCGTAGATTTATTCCAAGGGCTGCCGAAATTCAAGCTCCATTGCACAACTTGCTACACGGCAAAATTAAAGGTAACAACCCCGTAACCTGGACAACGCAGGCCGAGGACGCTTTCAACGCCTGCAAACAGCAATTCTCGAGCGCTACGCTACTCGCACATCCTAAGAATAACGCGTCTTTAGCGATTGCTTCCGACGCGTCCAACACCGCAGCGGGAGCTGTCCTACAACAGCGCGTCAACGGAGAATGGCAGCCGTTAGGATTCTATTCCAAAAAGTTGAGCCCGACACAAACTAAGTACTCCGCATACGACAGAGAACTACTGGCAATATATATGGCCATCAAACACTTCAGGCATATGGTGGAAGCAAGGAGTTTTACGATCTTTACAGATCACAAACCGATCACCTTCGCTTTCCACCAAAAGCTCGACAAATGCACGCCGAGACAATTCCGTTATTTAGATTTTATCGGACAATTTACCACGGACATACGGCATATACCCGGGCAAGAAAACGTGGTGGCCGACGCCCTCTCGCGGATCGACGAAATGGCCTCAACAATGGAATACCAGGCACTCGCAGACTCCCAAGAGACGGATGAAGAATTGGAGAAGTTCATAGAGTCCGAATCCGGTCTGCAACTAAGGAAAATATCGCTTCCGGGAAGTAGCAAGGAAGTCTACTGCGACGTTTCGACGACCCGAGCCAGACCGTTCGTCACACCTGCATTTCGTCAAGCAGTGTTCAACTCGGTACATCAGCTGTCGCATCCGGGAATTAAAGCCACTGTTCGCCTCGTTAGTCAGCGGTTTGTATGGCCGAAAATAAAAGCAGACGTCGCAAGAATGGCACGAGCGTGCATCCAGTGTCAGCGCGCCAAAACCACCAGGCACGTATCCGCACCCCTGGGCAAGTTCGACTTTCCGTCACGGCGCTTTGAGCACGTCCACATCGATATCATCGTGATGCCTGTCTCGGAAGGGTGCCGATATTGCCTAACGTGCGTCGATAGATTCACACGCTGGCCGGAAGCATACCCAATGGAAAACCAGGAAGCCGCTACCGTTGCTCGAGCTTTTTACACCGGCTGGGTATCAAGATTCGGAGTGCCACTGAGAATTACCACGGATCAGGGACGTCAATTTGAGTCGAATCTGTTCAAAGAAATTTGCAATGTGACAGGTTCAATTCACCTAAGGACAACCGGATATCACCCTCAATCCAACGGTATGGTAGAGAGGCTACATCGTCAACTTAAATCCGCCATAAAGTGTCACGAAACACAAACGTGGACCAAAATCCTCCCGTCGGTACTACTTGGAATTCGAGCGGCCTGGCGAGAGGATATTCAGGCAACATCGGCGGAAATGGTACTCGGTGAAAATGTACGTCTGCCCGGAGAATTTTTATCGACAGCCACTGGACCACAACACCACGAATCCGAAATTGTCCAGGAACTACGGCAGCATTTCCAACAACTACGCCCTGCACGGTGAGAAACGAACCTTTATCTTCAAGGACATGCTATCCGCAGAGCACGTCTTCATACGTCACGACGCAGCTAGGAATTGCCTGCAATACGTTTACGACGGTCCGTTCCAAGTGGTAAGCCGGGACGCTAAGACGTTTGTTGTCAATGTAAATGGCAAAAACGTCACTGTGTCAATAGATCGTCTCAAACCAGCCTACACCCTCACCAACGACAACCCTGACAACTCGCCAATACCAGCTACACCCGCCCCTAGAGCACCGGAAAACACGCCGGAAGGCGCCGTCCAAGAAAGAAGGACATCCAACAGGAAAGTGCGTTTTCCCGATCGTTTTCAAGCGGGTTTGGTGGAAGTGTGGTGAAATAGCCGTGACGAAGTGACAATTCGCAGATTTTTTTTGACTATGTTGTATATATGTACATATGTGTATTATTCTAGTTCTAAGTTTCAAAACCTGTATTATTTTAAACAGTATCGTTTGTGTCACTTACTATTTCAAATTTTTGTATAAACCAAAATTCTGGCAAGGGGGTGTTGTAGCGTCACCCGCCAAGCACGACCCGAGCACGTGATTTTAGCGTGCTCGACCGGTCCGTTACAGCCCCTAACACAATAGAATATTTTTGGTTGGAATGTGGAAAAACCGACCTGAGGGAATAAACAATCCGAGGCCGGCAGTTACGCGCCGACCTCGCATACAATAAGGCTTGCTAATAAACAAGTTTCAACGTCCATTCTTGTTTTAAACCTCAGTTGTTTCGGCGCGTAATTTTAAAATCATACAAGTACAATCGGGCACTCGGGCGGATTCGCGAAAACACTTTAAAAATGAAGAGAGAAGGGCGAGAGAGAGGCTTCTATGTGCGAACCAGTCAAGCATGCACGAGTTTTCACGTGCATTTTATTCATTGAAAAAGTGAAAAACCAAAACAATCTTTGGGGGCCCCCATTCAGCCGGTACAGCAGCTCACCGAAATCAGCAACTCAGCCACGCCAGGTACGTGCCCAACGTTGGTTTAAGTATTTGTATGGTTCGGGCGGTAATTATCATTTAAACAACAAAACATATATCTTATGGTCCTTCAGTCCACGTATTGCAAAAGAATTAACTAAAATACAAACATTTTTTGATCCTTCTTCGACGGATGTGAATCTTAAAATTTATCAAGGTTTAAATTAATTTTCGCCGTAGTTAGGTACCATTTTGCATTATTTATTAAAATAGTTCGTGTTCCTTTGTGCCGCACTGCGATAAAAATTTATCACATAACTTTGACTTTCAACGCTGTTATCGCAGGTGCCAGTCAAGGGGCCGATATTGTTCAAAACAACAAGCCAAAACTTGAAAATCATAGTAATTACGTTCTTGTAAAGTTTCCACCTTTGACTGAAAAATTGCACAACGAATAAACTCTATTTTTTGTTACAGTTAGATATCTTGCCATATGATTTTTAAGTAATATTTAAGTAAAGTCAGAGAGTTTAGGTACGAACTGGATTTTGTCATTGGATCAATTATAAATAATACAAAAGATGAAGGTGGGTTGTTGTTAATATAGTGGATTTTGGAGTAAATTAGTAGAGTATTTTGTACTGAGCCATTTGATGTTCTGTTGTTCAGGGAGTCCCAAATTTAGTCAATTTAGATGTGAGCTTTGTTTATTCTTTGCTCATCGCAAATAACTTTGGAAATTGCTTATTCCATAAATATCTTTCGAATTTTGAAAATTTTCGTTAATCAGTTACAAGCAAATAAAAATTCATTATAATTATCCGATTATGAGTTTAAATAGAATGGAGCAGCGACGTAAGGTTGCTGTTACGAGAATAAGTGAGACTTACACATTAGCTATCAAATCTCAAACCGATTCCTCTCAGCATAACTTATTCAAAATTAAGTATGACAGTTTAGAAGAAGTCTATACATCATTTAATGAACTTCATAACGAAGTTATCGGTTTAATTGATGAAAAAGAATTTGAAGCACAAGATGTAATAAGGAAAAGTACCGATGAATTTTATTTCAAAACAAAAGAAATATTTAATAAATTATTCCCCAGTAAGGAGAACCACAGCCTTGTGTCAATAAACAGCCAGGATGAAAAAATAAAATTACCAAAAATAACCATTCCTGTTTTTGATGGCACCATGTTAAAATGGCCTACTTTTTATGATCTGTTTTCTGCTTTGGTGCATAACAATTCATCTTTAGCAAACATACACAAATTTCAATACCTAATTTCATTTGTACAGGGGGAACCCTTAAACCTTATTAAGTCAATTCAAACCACAGATGCCAATTATTTAATTGCATTTAACACGTTAGTGAATCGATATCAAAATAAAAGAATTTTAGCTGCGTCATATTGGCATGAGATATATAACGTTCCTTCCATGAAAACAAGTTCTTATAAGGACCTTCGGAATCTTTTAGATGTATTTACTGAAAATTTGTCTGCCTTGCAGGTATTAGAGTTTCCTGTCCAACATTGGTGTTTCATTCTATTTAATTTATTATTGCAAAAACTCGATAGTGCCACACGAACAGCCTTTGAAGTGAAGTATACTGAAAAAGATATACCTACCTACAAAGACCTTAAAGAGTTTCTGGAAAAGCAGTGTAAAGCCTTAGAATCAGTTCAGTTTGTTACTTCACAATCAAACTCTAGTTCCCCTGGTAAATTTTCAAAACCTTCGAATTCCGTAAAACCTAGTTTTTCTAAAACTCCAGTAACATCCGCATTGCTTGTAAACCAGAATGCACCTCCAAAAAATCTACCGTTGAAAAATAATAGTAACCAAAATCAGGCTGCGCGAAATAATAGCCAAAATTGCAAATTAGGCAACCAAATGGCACACCCGTTAGCTCAGTGTCCGGAGTTTATTTCCAAAACCCCGTCTGAAAGATTTTCCTTTGTAAAACAGAATCGTGTTTGTATAAACTGCCTTAGATACAATCATTTGTTGAAAGATTGCACTTCTTCGTTTAATTGTCGTGTTTGTAGATACAGGCATCACACTATGATGCATCTACCTCAAACCGTTGAGACAAATAGAACAAATGCACAATCCGACGCATTCATAAACTCTTCGTCGCACTCGATTAATGCTCAAAGCTCTCCTCAGCCGTCTAAAACTAATGCAAATATTTCTGCACAATCCTTACACAACCAAAGTAATTTATCGTCGGTACAGGCAAGTACATCCCAACCCGAAAATCAGGTTCAAAACTACTGCACGTCATTAGCAAATGCATTTACTCAAAGCACAGTTTTGTTGTCTACAACAAGAGTGGAAATTTTGGATTCTAAAGGAAACTATCAAATCGTTAGAGTAGTCCTAGATTCTGGTAGCCAAGCAAATTTCATTAGCCAAAAGTGCCTAAGTCAGCTTGGTCTGACAAAGAAAAGATTCTCAATACCAGTTCAAGGTCTTAATGGAGCTAGAGCTTGTACCAACGGAGTAGCCAGTTGCAGTATTCGCCCCGTAGGTCAAACCCAACCTACATTTTGCTTTGATGTCTTGGTTCTTCCTAATCTTTGTACAGAGATGCCCTCTCACATTATAAATACCAACAGTTGGTCGCATATATCCAATTTAAAGTTGGGTGACGATCGATTCCACATCCCAGCACCAGTAGATCTTTTACTAGGTGCAGAAGCTTTTGCTCATATCCTAAAGGAAGGTCGCGTTTTAGGACAACCAGGGCAACCCACTGCGTTAGAAACTGTATTTGGTTGGGTTCTTCTAGGAAAAACTCAGGAGGTGTTAACGCCTTCCGTTCATTTGCAAACTTATTTTTCTTCATTTGATTCCTCCCTTGATAGTGATATTCGAAAATTTTGGGAATTGGAAGCAATCGCAGCGAAACCACAGATAGCTCCGGAGGAAGAAAAGTGTGAAGAGATCTATAGAAAAACTGTGTCCAGAGACCCCTCGGGTCGTTTTATCGTATCTTTACCCTTTCGTCATAGTGAGCCCGATCTGGGAGACACCTTCACCATGGCATACCGTAGTTTTAAATCTTTAGAAACTCGTTTAATTAAAAACCCTGAGTTGTATAACTTGTATTCGGAATTCATGAGAAATTATTTGGAAAATGGGCACATGACTCTAATTGCTTCTGACGAACCCAAGCCAATACACTCTTGTTATCTGCCTCATCACGGAGTGATTAAGGTAGAAAAAACCACTAGTAAGGTCCGTGTCGTTTTTAATGCCTCAGCAAAAGGTTCCAAGGGAATCAGTCTGAATGATACGTTGCTTCCCGGTCCAAAATTGCAAGCTGATCTTTCTGGAATCTTAGTTAAATTTCGTGTGTTTCCTATAATTTTTCTGGCCGACATTAAACAAATGTATCTGCAAATACAACTTACGCCTGAACATCGAGATTATCAGAGGCTAATTTGGCGGTTTAATCCGAATGATCCCATAAAGCAATATCGTCTCAACACGGTTACTTTTGGCGTCACCTCCAGCCCTTATTTGGCAATTAGAACATTGAAAGAGCTGGCAAAACAGGAGAGATCTAAGTATCCGAACGCTGCTGATATTCTTTTGAATAATACTTTTATGGATGATATCTGTGCTGGCAGCGACTCTCTGGAATCTGCTTTGGCCTTACAGAAAGAGATAATTGCCCTGCTTAAAGCCGGTGGGTTTCAGCTGAGGAAATGGGCTAGCAACCATTTTAAATTATTGTCGTCTTTAGCTGCTGCCGATTGTCAAGTTCCCGTTTCGTTTGATAGAGAGGTTTCTAGTAATATAAAAGTTCTTGGTCTTCTTTACAACCCCTCTGTCGACAAGTTTTCGTTTTCCCATAGTCCATCTAATAAACCCCCTACGAAAAGGAATATTTTGTCAGAAATTGCCCGAATCTTCGACCCTTTAGGCTTCCTTTCCCCGGTAACATTTTTGGCAAAACACATTATGCAGCGACTTTGGATTTCTGGCATAGGTTGGGACGAGATCCCGGCCAAACCAATTTGTGACATTTGGGTGCAGTTTAAACTGGAACTTCCGAGGTTATCACAAATTTCATTACCGCGTTTTATCTTTGCCGAAAAACTACAAAGGTGTCAACTTTTGGGATTCTGCGATGCTTCAGAAAAAGGCTATGCTTGTGCAGTTTATCTTCGAATTGAATTACCAAATGACACCGTAAAATCTTCTTTAATTATAGCAAAAAGTAGAGTCGCGCCTCTTAAGACGGTCAGCCTTCCACGATTAGAATTATTGGGTGCTGCCTTGTTGGCAGAGTTGCTTAAATTTATTATTGACCTTCTTAGCAAGCTAATTTCTATCAATGAAGTGTTGGCTTTCACGGATTCTCAAGTAGTTTTAGCGTGGTTATCCAGCTCGCCGCACAAATGGAAAACCTTTGTTGCAAATCGGGTTAGCCAAGTTCAGGAAACCATACCCACGGTACCCTGGTATCATATTAGTTCTGGGGAAAACCCAGTAGATTGCGCTAGTAGGGGTTTAACACCCAGCAACCTAATAAATCATCCCTTATGGTTTCAAGGTCCTCCTTGGATTTTACTTCCTCGAGCTGAATGGGATCTTGTGCCAATGGATGGATCCAATCTGGGAAAATCGGTGGCTCTATCCGAACAAAAAACCTGCACATTCGCTGTTACGCTGGATCCTAACCCATTAGATTGTTTAGTAACCAAATTTTCGTCTATACTTAAAATTCAACATATAATTGGTTACGTACTTCGATTTACTAGCAACACTAAGGCCAAGTCAAGAGATCATTGGGGTGTACTTACGGAAATAGAAAATCAAAATGCTCTTCGAATTTTAATCAGGCATGTCCAGAGTTGTTCTTTTTCGGATGTCATTTCACAACTTAGGACTCAGGCCTTAATACCGAAACCTTTTCGCAAGTTAGCTGTTTTTCTCGATGCAGACGGATGCCTCAGAGTGGGCGGTCGTCTAAAGCACTCCGATCTTTCTTTTGATGCAAAACATCCTTACCTTCTTCCTCGAAACCACAGATTAACGCATTTACTTATTGAAAATATGCACCGGAAACATTTACATGTGGGGTTAAATACCGTGCATTATCTTCTTAGACAACAATTTTGGATATTATCAGCTCGTCGAGCAATCCAAAAGGTGTTATCACAATGTGTAAAATGTTTTAGGGTAAAACCTAAAACCTTTACCCCATTGATGGGGGATTTACCTTCCTTTCGAATTTGCCAATTAAAATGTTTCTCTCAAGTTGCCTTAGATTACGCAGGTCCATTAAAAATAACTATGGGCAGGCACCGAGGTGCGAAGGTCATGAAGGCTTACGTGTGCATTTTTGTTTGTTGTACTACTAAAGCCATCCATATTGAACTGGTTTCGGACTTAACATCGGATGCCTTCATAGCTGCGTTTCGTCGTTTCGTTGCACGGCGCGGGAAATGCACCAACATTTTCAGCGACTGTGGTACAAATTTTGTAGGAGCTAGAAACCAATTAGAAAAATTATCTCAATTCGCCTCAGAATCTTTGCAAATTAGATGGCACTTCAACCCACCAGGCGCCCCACATTTTAATGGTCTGGCTGAAGCCGGCGTTAAATCAGTGAAATCTCATTTAGTACGTGTAATAGGTCAGCAACTTTTGACATTTGAAGAAATGTCGACACTTTTGACACAAATCGAAAGCCTTTTAAATTCGCGTCCTCTTTGTGCGCAAAGCTCCGACCCTAACGACTTAGTTCCATTAACTCCAGGACATTTTCTAACTCTTGAACCCTTAAATTCTTGTCCAGATGAGAATCTTGAAAATTTAAAATTAAACACTTTATCTCGATGGCAATTGATACAAAGACTACAATCTGATTTCTGGAGACGTTGGAAACTTGAGTATTTGAACACCCTACAACAGCGCACTAAGTGGACAGATCCTTCTGTAAAAATTCAATTAAATACTTTGGTTTTAATAAAGGATGACACCAAGCCACCTTTGCATTGGGCATTAGGCCGCATAGTTGAATTACATTCTGGCCCAGACGGCCAAACACGAGTTGTCACGGTAAGGACACAAAACGGACTGTTTAAGCGTCCTGTTATTAAATTATGTCCCTTACCTACTCAAGATCAATAAATAAGTACCAACCATAGATATGTTGTTTGTTGTGCAATGTCCTAAATTCAAATGAAAAATTTTTTTTTTTTTTGGTAAGGGGAAATATTTACAAGAGCAAATCTTGGGAATTTAGTTTAAAAATTCTATTAGTTGATTTTTTTTTTCCTTGTGGGTAATTGTGTTATAATTATGCATTTCTATTTGTAAAACATCCGTTTTAGTGGGCGGAAAAATGTTTAAACCTCAGTTGTTTCGGCGCGTAATTTTAAAATCATACAAGTACAATCGGGCACTCGGGCGGAGTCGCGAAAACACTTTAAAAATGAAGAGAGAAGGGGAGATAGAAGTTCTATGTGCGAACCAGTAAAGCAT